TAAGCCGCGTTGGTTCAACAACATGCTGGATTAGATTGTGAGCATGAGGAAAATCACGAAACCGAAACTGAAGTGGTTGTTAAGTCTAGCTTCACCCCCGGAACTAGTGAATGCATGTCCCCCAGACCCGGTATGTTGAAATCACCGACAATTACCGAGTTGAGCTCACACGCAATCAGGTCACTTAGCGCCTTAACAAGTTGGTCAGTATTGGCTGCAACGCAGGATGGAGCTCTGTATACTACTATGATTCAAAAACAAGAGCCCTTCTAAAAGCACGATCAGCACAAAGAATTTTCATATGCGTCCTCAACTCGCATTCCCTTTGAAGACTAAAGTCATGTATGGAGAGTCTAGAATGCACGAGAAATTACTCCGCCCCCCGTTTTTCTCTGTCTATCACATCTGAGTATATCGTATTCAGACCACAAGCTTCCCAATATAGAGATGACAAGCGGAGACTAGGTTTAAGCCATGTTTCAGCAAATGCACAGATATCATATTTGTGAGGTAAAAACAGCATTGTGTAGGCCGAGTTCCTTGAGATTTGACCTAACATTCGCATAAAACAGTGAAATTACTCCTATAAGACCGGGGAGGGAACGTCAGTTTCCCTGACCTGCTCGTGTCTCTAGCATAACATGGACAGGTGAACTGGAAGGGCTCCCTTGGACGCGGCCATTACTCGCCGCTGTGGAGCAAGGTTCACCCGCCAAGCGATGTCCCACGCTCCGCACGCCTACGTTCTCTCTCCTCCTTGGTGAGGGACTCTTTTAGAAAAATGCCCCGTTCGGGAAAGAAGCGAAGGCGTGGGGCTCTCCTTACAATCATACGTTGGAAGAATCGAGATGGAAGTACAACTTAATGAGCCTATTCCTATCAGGCGACGGTTTTCCCATCCTATACACCGTCATCGGATTACACTCTACTCCAAGAAAGTCAATAACGCTACACACTCTTTGATAGTCATGCAAAACGCGGTCTCTTACAGTAGTAGCTGGGGACTCCGGAACACTACTTATATGATTTTTGATTTCAGTTTTTCAAACTCTTGACAGGATACATTAAAGTCCGCATTGCTAACAGAATTATTTTTGACATCATGGTTTGGCAGAGAATCATTATGAGGATGCGAAGAGTGCGCATGAGCTGAACCTAACGAATGATTATCACGAAGAGCATGTTAGATCTAAGGTTACAATTCTCGGATCGCAGGGCGGTTATTTCCGCCATCATGGCCAACAAAACTTTCTTGATAGGCTCCGCAACACGTTTAGACTTTGAAATGTCTTCAACTTTTGACTGGAGATCACACCAGGTAGATGTTTCGCATCCACTGCTAACAGTATTTGCGAGTTGAACGATGGGAGAGCTATCGACATCCATAACGATGAATGATATCCCATCGCCCACGCCCTCCCACGCCCCCCCCCCTCCCCATCGCTAGTGCTACCGCAAGTTCACATAGCGTTACAAATACCACCAATAATGGCGTTTGGTTTGCATACGTTGTGAGAAAATTCACAGCAAATTCTGACTTCCCTCTTGCGGCCTCGGTCATCGCCTTGGCCAGTGATGAGGCTCCAGGCTACTCCTCGCTCCTCGGTAACCAGATATACTTTGCTTTGCGCTATCCAGGAAGGCCTGGAGTGGTAGGATGCTCTGTGTTGAGGGCAGAGGTAGAACATCATCAGCCTAGTAAATAGTATGACAGGAGCTCCTAGTTTTGGTTCGGAGAGGGGCCCCTACCTCATGATTTCGGCCGCTACATGGCTTTTTCGGTCAACACAGACCGGTAACTAAGACTGACGAGGAGCGGGGAATTGACAGTAGGGAGCGAGTAAAGGCGAAACGCCAGCGCAAACGAGCACGGCGCCATGGGTCGGTATAAATCGTTGTTTATTGCTATCACAAGAAGGCTGAGTTGTGGGCAAACACACAAGCTCAGCATTCTTGTGATAAACATTTCGCCGGAACGCGTACTGCGACAGTTAAACAGCACTTTATCAGACAAACAGTTGTTTATTGCTTGATTTAATCGGCATCTGAATGAAGTGTCGTCTGCGAGGGCTTTGACATTGTTTTAAAGCTACCAGTCTGAACTCATGAACGACCGAATGCTGTCTCACAAGAAGAGTGAGATCAGACTCGATGGAAGTTTCAGCACTGGACATTTTCTTGGTGCACAGCGTTAGTAACCTTGGTAAATTGAAATTCGGACACTACCTGAGAGGCCAGGATGACCGGATATGACGGAAAACCCAACGGGGCTAGACTAGTCTGTTCCTCTGCACCCTCTCATCAACGGAAGACCCAGAGAATAGCAATTTGCCGCTCTGCCACGCTACGCGATGGGCGCGGCATATCTTAATTCGTGTAACCTGCCGAGTGGAGCACAGGACTTCATGAAGACACGTCTGCTGATCAGTCTGCCTCACCGTGATAGTCTGTATAGCAACGAGTCTCGATGAACTAGCCATTACCGTGACAGAAAATTTGCCTGACATAGATTTGCATTCAATTCCACCCTTCAGTCCACTCTATTGGCTTGCACAGCCTTGAGAGGATATTGACTTTAGGTACGTACAGTCACCATACTGACAGGAGGTCGGTAAATCGGGAAGCGGTGTCGACTACCAAGTGTGCGGTACGGGGGACAAACCTGGAACCGGATCTTGCCCGTGTTAAGCATGCTCCCCAGTACCTTCAATACTCATTTACGAGGTCAATACGATGTTGTTTGCGATTCGAAAGTGGCACAACAGTACCATGTTGAGTAGCGAGCATTGATCGGCCTCGCAGTGTGTCCCTTTCAATCCACAAACACCCACCCAACAAACCCCATGAATCCGGGACTCATACCAAGAAGGGAGCCTTGGTGCGAAAGCGTACTATGGTGAGCTCTACCCATGTCCTTTTTTATTTTGCTACAAGCTCCAGCCTGTTCCACTCCAATTACGGAAGCTGGCAGGCAACCGCGAATGGAGGAAACCGACTGGCGCCGCGTCAGCTCAGCCACCTGAAACGCTCCAGCGTTCGCAGCGAACAAGACTGCACCTGCACAGCAGCCCCCCCCCCCCTTATGCGTAGCTTGGCAGCCACACCTGAACAGGTACCAACTACGCAGTAGACAGCAACAATCACTCAAAAAACAACTAAACACCCGCAAAGATATTTATTATCTACTATCTTTACTACATCAGTGCCAATCGAAATTTCAACCAATAAAATCTAATTAGACTTTGCGGTAGAGGTCTTCTTAGTGCTTTTGACGCTTTTTGACTTTGACTTTTTGGGGGCAGGAGCAGCAGGGGCTTCCTTTTCCTTTTGAGTGGGCTTTGGAGCAGGGGCAGCAGGAGCAGCTGGAGCAGCTGAAGCCTTTGCTGGGGCTTTCTTCTCTTTTGGAGCCTTCTCAGCCTTCTCCACCTTCTTTTCAACCTTCTTCTTTGGTGCCGCGGCCTTCTCCTTCTTCACCGCTGCCGGAGCTGCTTCCTTATCGGCCCTCTTTGCAACAGGCTGAAATGGAAGACTTCAGAAAGATTCGAACTGCACAGCCGTTCTCCTAAAGCTTACCAACCTTCTTGACTTTCGGAGCGGCAGCCTTCTTCTCTCCAAGTTTGAAGCTTCCCGTGGCTCCAGTACCGGTGACCTGTTTCAGCTCTCCTTTCTCGACACCCTTCTTGAGCGCCAAGCGAATATTAGTATTAATCTGAAATAACTAAGCATGAGTGTCCTTTGTATCGTAGAAACTTCTTGTACTCTTAAGACCGCCCACAGCCAACTCATAAAGAATGGATATTGATCACTTTGATATCAATAATCATTCCTAAGCTCACTGTTCACAGGGCAGGTTGGGTTGTGTATGTGCGATCTCTCATACCGAGGGGGGTCCTATATGCGCGACTGCAGCGCCACAACGCGACGCGCTACGCACAGCTGTCTACGGATCAGGACAAGTCCAGCCAGCGTGCACAGTTTGCGATCTCGTTGGGGGACCAGGGCCAGACACGGCCGCCAACATCGTTCTTATGCGACCGCGCTTACTGTACCGGGCCGGTTGTGCAAATGCAGAAGTAGTATCAGCGCGCGACCAACCAATATCCATTCCTTCGGGCGAAGACAACGGAGCGGTTGCTTTATCCTTCTGCAGCCAAGCAACTCTGGTGACAAGGGCCTGCGAGCAGGGAGAGGCAGTCAATAGCGAGACTAGGCTGCGACCCCTGCCTCCCATGGTCAATCTCTAATGTGGAGTGCGCAGACGAGCAGGCAATAGGC